GCAACGCGCGCGTCCGCCCGCGGCGGCAGTTGGCGCGCAAGGCCCGTGGAAGTCTTCAGGCACCCGGCGGTTCGCGCCGCTAAGAACGCCATCGAGAAGCGTTCGGGCTGGCAGGCGAAGGCGCGCATGGCCCTTCAGGGCCGCGACGTCGCCCGTCTGGTGTCGCACCTGCGCGTCAGTGACGAGGGTCGCCGTTTCGCCATGTTGTGCCTGGCGGCCTACGCATTCCTCCTTCGGCTACCCTCGGAGGCCCTGCCCGCGGTGCGGGTTGAAGATGGCGCGGCCGCAGCTGGCGTGGCCTCCGCGTTCGTCGTCGGCGATCAAAAGATCGAGCTGCACCTCTCCAGGAGAAAGAACCGCGAGAGCCGCTCGGTGATGGCACGGCAGTGCTGGTGCGACGAGTGCGCGGTCACCTGTCCCGTACACGTTCTTGGGGCCTGGCTAGTTGGCGAGCCAGCTCATCAGCCCATCTGGGCTGCGTGGTCCCCAGGCGCGGCACGTGCTCGGCTGCGCCGCGCGCTGGGCGAAATGGGGCGCCACGACGCGGAATCATTCGGCACTCACGCGTTCAGGCGCGGGCACGCGCAGGACATCGCTGCCAGGGGCGGACCGGTCACCGACCTTCTTCGCGCGGGCGGCTGGCATCAGCCCGCGTGGATGAAATACCTTAACGTTTCCCGGCTCGAGCGGCAGTCGGTCGCGGAAGCCCATTTGGCAGAGTCGTCCAGCGACGATGGCGATGGCTGAGCACCCCGCGCAGTCTGGTGGTCGTGTCTGCACGGCACACACGTGGGCGCACCCCCGGCACGCGGGGGCAGTGGGTGGCAGCGCCGGGCGTGGCCCGCGGGAGCGCCGTTGCAGTGGGTGGTGCTCCCCCACGGGCCCGACCGGCGTCTGCCCGCTTGGCCTCGGAGAGGCCGCGCGCTGCGGGGCAGATGGGTCGGGTCCGCACCCTCCGCTCCTGGGGGAGGCTTCCTCCTCCCCCCCCCCCCAGGGCCGTGCGAGGCGAGTGCAAGCGCCAGGATTTGTGGGGTCGGAATAACGAAGTTATTGCTTGGCACAAATCCGCCCGCGCTGTGAACGACCCCGCGGCTGGCCGCGGGGGCGCCCTCGCTCGGCTGGTCGGCCGCGCGCTGGTCGACCCTCTTCCGCCTCCCGCTCGCGTCGTGTGGTGCAGTGCCGTGCCGTGCTTCCTCCGCCTGGCACTGGGGCGGGATATAAATACCGTGCCGTGTGTCGGGTTTCGGCCCTCCGCCCTCTGGGGGCTTCGCTCGGCCCATAGTGGCTTCCTTGCGGCCCATAGTGGCTTCGTTGCGGCCCATAGCGGCCTGCTGCGTTCACGTGCCCAATGGGGCCCTCTCTTCTGGTCCATAGTGACCACGAGCTGTCGTTGGCCCGCCCTACCCGCCCTGGGGGTGTGGGGGGGGGGTGGTGCTCCCCCACGGGCCCGACCGGCGTCTGCCCGCTTGGCCTCGGAGAGGCCGCGCGCTGCGGGGCAGATGGGTCGGGTCCGCACCCTCCGCTCCTGGGGGAGGCTTCCTCCTCCCCCCCCCCCCCTGGGCCGTGCGAGGCGAGTGCAAGCGCCAGGATTTGTGCTCTGTTTTCAGACGACTTCTCACCATTCAGATGGGTGCACAATCTTGCCAGTGTAGGGTTAGTTGACTCCTCTCGCTCCACGGTTGCATGTCTGGAGCGCGTAGAGCCTAAGCATTGGCTGGTTTGCCCTGCTCGTCTGCCGCGCTAGTCTGCCCTGCCGCTCTGCCGTCTTGAGACATTTTGGGGCAGTTTGGACTCGTCTTGAGGGCTTCTCTAGGCCTCTTGGGGGTCCTTTGAAGGCATCTCGGTGGAGGAGTCTTGGACTTGGTGGAGACATTTTGGTGGAGACATCTTGGTTGCTGTCTTGGTGGAGGCAATTGGGGGGCGTCTTGGGACTTCTTGGAGGCTTCCTGATGGCCTCTGGGGGGCCTCCAGGGGCCATCTGACCGAGGGCCCAGGAGCCGCCCGGAGAGGTTTCGGGGCTGCCTGGGCCCATCTCCAGAGATCATTGCTGCGTTTTTGGGCCCGCTGGGGGCCTCGTGGTCCTCAGGGACCTCTCGTGGGCCTCGTGCGACTGTCGCGATTTTGTCAGGTTTGGCCGTCTGGGGCCTCTCGTGGCGCATTTAGGTCTCATTAGGAGGCGAGGGAGGAGGAGGAGGAGGAGGAGGAGGAGGAGGAGGAGGAGGAGGAGGAGGAGGAGGAGGAGGAGGAGAAAGAGGAGGAGGAGGAGGAGGAGGAGGAGGAGGAGGAGGAGGAGGAGGGAATCAGCGGCAGGAGCATGAAGGGGAGTGTTAGGAGGGGAATGTGGACGCTGTACTTACGTACTGAAGTAGCTGGACCCACCTTGTAGGTTGCAGGGGTGTCCCCGAGGTACCCAGACGCCCACATCGCCAGGGCGCTTCTCTTGGCCGCCTTGGAATTCCCTCGGGGCCGTCGTGGCCCCTTTCGGGTCCACACAGCGCCTTGTGGCTCCCTGATGGCGCCGCCGTACTGAGTGTTTCTGGGGCCATTTTTCTGAGAGTCTCACAAGCTGTTCTGGAGCGGTTTTGAGATTGTCGCACGCCGTCGTGGGCCAAGCTTGTAACAGCGGCCACGTGAAAATTACTCCCGCGCTTGGTGATTCTTTGAATCCTGGGCCTCTTTGGCCAAACCCGAGGGCCCTCTCCACAGATCAAGGGCGCGGCGCCCCGAGGCCATCTCACGGCATGTCGGATGTTCGGATGCTGGACAACGCTCCAGCTGTGGGCCTCGGGGTTTGTTCAGTGGACTTACACTCCAGGCGATGCTTAAGAAAACCCAAGTTTTCGGCCAGAGGCTCGATCATTCTTACTGTTTCAATGTATATCCCAAGATTTTGATAGAAGTTCTGGTTTTTTTATTCAAGCTCTGAGACTCTGAGTTTCTTAACCCATGATTTCTTAAGCATTTCGCAGGGTGTACGCCAAGAGCGGCGGCAGGCCGTGCGGTGGGGGCTGTTAGGCCCGCAGCGCGTCTTCCATTCTCGGTATTGTGGGATGGCCAGGGACCCGAGGACGCTCTACCCAGCTCTTGGCGGCACGGTGGTCGACTCGCGCGGTTTGACCATCAACAATTCACCCCTGCTGCTCCTCCTGCTGGTCCTCCTGCTGGTCCTCTGGTGCTTCTCCTGCTGCCCCAGGGCAATGCAGAATGTTCGACGCGGAGATTCCCATGTGTGTATCTCAGTTCCTGGCAGTCCCGTCTGTGAGTGTCTGAGTGAGCGAATCTTAGGCTGTGGCGAGTGAGCGTTCGCTTGCGGCTCCCCCCAGGAGCGCCAAAGCTTCGAGCCAGCTACATCGGAGGAGAGGGGTCGGGGGTGCCTAAACTAGCGTTTCGCCTGAGAGGTCACCCGAGCTGGGCGCGAACTGGCCAGCTCAACACCCACTACGTCATGCCTGCTATGTCGGTGTGATCATAGGGACGTTCAACAGACCTAGGGGAAGGCAGCAGGAAGACGGCCAAAGACATCCCCACAGTCCGGGCGCGAACGGGCGAGCGTCCCTCTCCCTGGCGGCTCCTCGGGTTGCCCAAGTGCCACGCCTGCTATCTCGCACGCGAGGAGTTTGGGGGGGGCAGGAGCAGGCACACCGCCCGAGACATTCCCACAATCCGAGCGCGAACGGGCGAGTGTCATAGCCTCGGGGTGCCGAAAGGCCACGCCTGCTTCGTCGCTGTGATCCTGGGGCTTTGGCGCGAGAGACGCCTGGTGGGCAATGCGAGCGAACCGCCTGAGGCGTTCCCACAACCTGGGCGCGAACGGGCGAGCGTCATACTCCCTGGCAGCCCCCTCTTGGGTGCCCAAGTGCCACGCCTGCGACGCCGCGGCGATCGTGACGTTTTTGAAAAGAGAGGGGCCGGGAGGGCAAACTGAGCGAACCGCCCGAGCCGTCCCCACAAATCTGGCCGCCCGAGGCGTCCCCACACTCTTTGGGCGTCAACGGGCGAGTGGGACGCCCCCCGCCGCTCTCCCCTGTGGGTTGTCCATCTGCTCCGCCTGCTATGTCGCGGCGATCGTGATGCGTTCGAAGGGAAGGAGTGTGGAGGGCAAACCGAGCAACCGCCTGAGACATTTCCACAGTCTGGGCGCGCACGGGCGATCGTAACGTTCGCTGTCGCCTCCCATTTGGAGTGCCGAGGTGCCGCGCCAGTTATGTCGCGGTGATCGTGGTGCTTTCAAACAAGTGAGTGTAGGGAGTGTTGGGGGGGGGGGGGAAGCGAGCAAACCGCTTCAGACGTCCCCGCAATCCGAGCGCCCACGGGCGAGTGCAGTACCCTCTTGGCGACTCCTCCTTGGGACCCCGAAGTGCCACGCCAGTTATGTCGCGGTGGTCATCTCGTGAGTGGGGCGATCATCTTGTGAGTGGTATGTGTTTGTGTGTGTGTGTGTGTGAGTCTGGCCATGACTCGGTTGGGTCTGAATCTGAGTGGGAATGGTCTGTGTATGGGTGAGTCCGAGAATTTGAAAGTCTGAGTATCAGTGGATCTGAGAGAGAGAGAGAGAGAGAGAGAGTAAGTCTGAGTACCAGTGAATCTGAGTGCTAGTGAGTCTGAGTGTGAGTGAGTCTGGGTATGAGTGATCTGAGTGTGATGAGAGGGACGAAGGGGGTTGGAGGGAGGAAGGTGAAGGCCTCCCAGTAATATCAATAACCTCGTACTTATTATGTGGGGCACAATCTCACATTGTGGAGTCTGACCAAGATTATTTGAGATATCGACTTGGTACTCACCGAAAGACCCTCAACGTCCCAGATTGGTCCCTCCCCCTCCCCTTTGCCCCTGCCCCAGGAGGCGCAGTGCATCTTCAGATTGTGTTCCTAGTCTCACCTCGTCGAAGCTTGAGGAGCGCACAGAACATTGCGTGTCTTTGGTGGCATTGAGCTCGTCACTCCTGCTTCGTCTGGCTCGTGACTGGATCGTTACTGGATCAGTGCCGGTGCCCTTCCAAGGCCCCACCAGACGTTGCTGACGTTCCTGCGAGACCGGCTGTGTGGGTGACGTAAACCTCGCCACTCACCCCAGAACCCTTTTCTGCCTCCATGTTATTGTCCTCACCCTCCCCCTCCCAGTGACCTCCCCCTCCGCCCCATCCACAGCAGCACTACTTCGGATTGGGGGAGATACCCTTGCGCTGGCTTGCAAGAGCTCTCCATCTTTTAGGATGAAGCTCTTGGGATATTAAAGTCGGCATCTGCGCTGGTACATCCGTGGTCGAAAACCAGCCTAACCGAGCATAGTGCAGTCCCGGGGCCCCGCGAGCGGCGCCAGAGGCCGAAGGCTGCCAGAAAGGTAACCGGTTTTTCTTTGCAAGAACATCGACGCGATGGTGGTCTGGATCTCCGCATCTGCTCCTCTCTCCTCCCCCCCTCCGCCCCCTTAGGATGGACGCCCTGGGAGATTTCATCCAGCATATGTCGGCCACGCGCAGAGGGGGATGGCAGGAGGAGGGAAGGCTTCTTAGAAGCACCCTCCATTTTTAGAAGGCGCGGGCGCCCCTGCTAAGAAGCTTGTGGTTGCTTCTTAGAAGCTGGTCCTGGCGTCTTCTGAGAAGCAGGTGCCTTGCTTCAGAGAAGCTGTTGTTGCTTCTAAGAAGCAGTTCCGTGCTAGAAGCTGCTGGGGTGCGTCCAAGGAGCGGCGCGCCCTTGGCTTCTTAGTAGAAGGGCGGCCGGCGCCTTCTAAGAGGCAGCCGTCTTCTAAAAAACCTTCCCCCCTCCTTCTACACCCTTGTGCGCGCCGCCAAATGGGCGCATACATACCTTTACGACCTCCCTTCGGATGATGAGATTCGTAGGGGGAGGAGCCAACGTCTCGCTCAATCGATCTCACTACCGATCGCCATGTCGGCCTCACTACCGATCTCACTATCGATCACAATATCGATCTCACTATCGAACTCACTATCGATTTCACTATCGATCTCACTACTGGTCTCACTATCGATCTCACTATTGATTTCACAATCGAGGTCACTATCGATATCACTATCGATCTGCCTATTGATCTCGCTCTTTCGACCTCACTGTCAATCTCACGATCGACTTCACTGTCGATCCCACTATCGTTGTTACTATCGATCTCACTATCGATCTCACTATGGATTCAACTCTCGAGCTTACTATCAATCTCAGTATCGATCGCTCTATCGACCTCACCATCGACCTCACGATCGCCGTCTCTATCGATCTCACTATCGGTCTCACCAGCGACCTCAGTATCTATCTCGCTATCGATTTCAATATCGATATCATCATCGATCTCACTATCTATCTCACTATCGAGATAGCTATTGATCTCACCATCCATCTCACTATCGATCTCAATCGATCGATGTCACTAACGATCTCAAAATTGTTCTCACTATCGATATCATGACCGATCTCTCTCGTCGGTCGATTTTACTATCGATCTCACTATCGACCGTACACTTGATGTCATACTCGATGTCGCAATCGATCTCACTATCCCTCTCACTATCGATCTCACAGTTCATCGCACAATCGATCTCACTATTGACCTCAGTATCGATTCCACCATCGATCTCACTATCGAGCTCACTATCCATTTCACTATTGATCAGACTGTCGATCTCACATATCGATCTCACGATCGATTCACTATCGATCTCACAACCGATCTCACTATCGATCTCACTATTGATTTCACTATCGATCTCACGATCGACCTCACTATCGATCACACTATCTATCTAACTATCGATCTCACTAATGATCTCGCTCGATCGATCTCACTATCGATATCACTATCGACCTCACTGTCGATCCCATTATCGTTCTCACTATCGATCTCATCCATGGATTCCACTATAGATCTCACTATCGACCTCAGTATCGATCTCACAATCGGTCTCTCCATCGACCTCACTATCGATCTCACTATCGACGAGACACTATCGACCTTACTATCGGTCTCACTATCGACCTCAGTATATATCCAACTATCGATCCCACTGTCGATCTCACCATCGATTCCACTATCGACCTCAGTATCTATCTCACTATCGAGATAGCTATTGATCTCACCATCGATCTTACAATCGATCTCAATCGATCGATGACACTAACGATCTCAACATTGATCTCACTATCGATATCATGACCCGACCTCTCTCGTCGGTCGATTTTACTATCGATCTCACTATCGATCTCACAGTCCATCGCACAATCGATCTCACTATCGACCTCAGTATCGATTCCACCATCGATCTCACTATCGATCTCACAATCGATCTCACTATCGACCTCAGTATCGATTCCACCATCGATCTCACTATCGATCTCACAATCGATCTCACTATTGATCCGACTATCGATCTCACATATCTATCTCACGATCGATTCACAACCGATCTCACTATCGATCTGACCATCCATCTCACTTTCGGTCTCTCTATCAATCTCACTGTCGATCTCACTACGGGACACCGACGGGGCACCAGTGGTACCCCGACGGGACACCGGCGGGGCACTGCTGGCTAATCGTGGAGAAGTCGGACTTTCGGCTTGGCGGCGCCCTAGCTAGAGGAGGGTTCATTGCTCTCGCCCGCCCACGCAGCTTCGCCTCAAACCGCACGCATGGCACGAACACGAAATCGGACCGATTTCCCAGTAGGGGGCTCTACGTTTCACTGCGATCTCTTCCCGTCACCTCCGATCCGTTGTCGCCAACCCGCCTAGTCCGGCAGAATGCCGCCCAATCTGGCATAGTGCCGCCGGCTTACTCCCCCGCTTCATCTGGCCTGTCTGGCTTAATGGCCTCGGGCGTATTAGCGCTTGATCCTTCTTGCGAAGATTCCCACGGAGTTTCTTCCCCTCTCCTTCTGCTTTTCTAGGCCGCCCCAATTGGGTCCGAGCAGGTGGGGTCGGAGGATCGCGCCGCATCGCCGATGTATCGGCGATGCAACTCGATGAGGTGCTCGATTTCCTCAACGTCGACGTCGCCGGTGTATCGCCGATGTATCGCCGAAGTCGCCGATGCATCGCCGATGCATCGCCGATGTATCGGCGATACATCGCCGAGGCGGCGCGATCCTCCGGCCCCGCCTGCTCGGGCCCCATTTGCGCGACGCAGAAGCTGCCCGAGGGGACGCCGCGCGTGAGCTCCCCGCGTAAGCTGCCCGACATGTGCGCGCAGGCTGCCCTCGTGAGGCCGCGCGTGAGCGCCCCTGGAACTTCCGGTGCGGCGCGTCGCGCTGGCGGCCCGCGGCAGCTGCGGCGGAAGGTCGCTACAGTCAAGCCGCACGGCAGGGCTCGTTTCGATTCCTCCGATTCGATTCGATTCGATTTCGATGGTTTCCGATTCCGATTCGATTCGATCTGGGATTCCGATTTGAGTTCCGATTTCTTATTAGAGGCATACCAGCCTGCCGATTTCCGCCGATCCGACTTTTCCCGACTCGGCTGCCGATTTCCGACGATCCGATTCATGTCGATCGCCGATCCGACTTGTCGATCCGATCCTGGGCTCTCCTGCATGGTAAGGATGAACAACCATCCAAGGCTAACCCCTGCATCCTTGCCCCTTCGGCCCAGAGCCAGCATTGCCCTCCAAGGCCGTTGCATCCCTAACCGCACATCCTTATCATGCAACTCGACTGTACACGCTGGTCGTTGGGGAAGTAGGTTTTTTTTGGATCCCCAGATCCCAAGCTACTTTAGGCGCCTTCCTGCTTCCAAGATCGAGTGGTTCTCCTTGTTCTGTTGTCTTCGGGGGGTGGGCGGAAGCCCAACCCTGCGTGCGACGCCTTCCTACTTCATGTTTCTGCCCACTTCGTCCGACCGACCGGTATGCCATCTCGCGTACGACCCGCTTCTGTCCGTCCCCTTTGTGCAGACCTCTGTTCCCCCCATCTGCTGCTGTGCTGTGGCCTTGGGCCGCGGACCTACCCCTCCCGCAGGCTGGGCCTCACCGGCACCAAGCTCGGCTGCGGCGAGGGCGGCTGCGGGGCCTGCACGGTGACGGTGTCGCACTTCGACCACGCCAGAAAGGATCGATCCCTCCGCCGCGGCTGTGGACGGCTCCCTACCTCCCTCCCTCGCCTCGTGGCGGGCGACCTCGCCAAGATCGAGGCCTGTGGGTCGCCGAGGTTGGGCGGTGCCGCGGGGGTGGAGGAGGAGGGAGGAAGCTTCCTCCGTTTCCGACGGGCTTTTTTGGCCTTGCCCACTTGACTTCAGTTCGCTCCACGACAACCTTTCTCCCTCCCTACACAGGACGCCCATTTCGCAGGACGCCCTCGCACCTCTTTCTCTCTTCGTCGTCGCCGTCGTCGCCCTCCCCCTCCTGCTCGCACCCTCTTCTGTTCGCTCGCCTTCCCCCTGACTGCCCTGTCCACGTCGGTCTTCTCATGAGATGGTTGTTGCGGTCCTGTTGAAGCACTCAGCTCGCTCGCTCTTGCAAGGATGAGGACGGTATGTGTTAGAGGGTAAATCACCAGTATGATGCGACCAAGCGATCAGGCGATCCCCAGGGGGACCGAGGCGCCCCAGTGAGAAGTGGGCGATTCACCAGAAATTGCCGGTTCGTCGTCGGCGTCGTCGTCGCCGTCGAGGTCGCCCGTCCGCAGCGCAGCCAGCGGCCCGGATGCTCTTCTTGTTTTCATCGTCCCTGCCCGTTTGGTCGCTTTTTGGGGTGGAGTCTGGATGCGTTCAGTGGAAGTGGAGGGTTTCTCCGAAGGGCTTAGGCGACCCGTCCTCCTCCTCCTCCTCCTCCTCCTCCTCCTCCTCCTCCTCCTCCTCCCCCTCCTTCTCCATCTCCTCCTCTCCCTCCCCCTCCTCCACCTCCTCCTTCTCCTCCTCCTCGGGTCGCCTACGGCCCGGGGGGAAACCGTGCAAGTGGAAGCCCATGCCATGAAGCACGGGTTTCTTGTTTTGCTATGGAAAGCGTGATTTTCCCACACCAAAAATCAAGGGACGTGCTGGGGTCTCAGGGTTGGGTTTCTTGTGGAAGGTTCCTTGTGGCCGAGCTCCTGCTGTAGGAGGTCTGCTGGAGTCCCACGTGGGGGTCTGGCGCCTTCCCGCCAGAGGGCTCGGAGGGCATGCAAAGGGGCCGCTGCCTCTTTCTTTGGGGCGTGCTGCTTGCCTGGCCCACTGCATTCCAGAGCCTCCCAGGGAACACATCGTGACATCGTCTCGCTGTGCCCTCAGGCCCTCACAATAACTCGCGCACGACACGCATTATGTTGGCCTACTTAGAGGACCGAGGATGGTGAAGACGAGTACCGTCGTAAGCAGCAGGAACAGGGGCCTGCCGTCAATGTGTGGTGAACTTATTTGATCTCGATGGGAGCTCCTGTCGAGACCATGAGCTGGCACCATCCGACCATATCTATAATACGTGTGCGTCGGCCCCGCAGGGGCGACGGACGCGCTCAGAACTACGGTGCACGATCCAGAGTTGCCCCCCCCCCCCCCCCCCCTCCAATTCGTAGGGGATCGAGCTGCCCCCCACCGCTGCATGTGTACGCCCGTGAGCCTCGCGAGGGCCTCGCGAATGGGAGCGCTTCCCCCCCTGTGGTCGTGGGCTTTTGGGTGTGGCGTGGTTGAGAGCGGACGTAGGTCCCGAGACCAAGGTCGCAGGGCCTCGCGAATAGGATCGCTCCCACCCCCCTGTTGTGGTCGTGGCCCCGTGGGCGTGGTGCGGTGTTGGGTGCCTGTGCTCCTCCCCATCCCCCTGTGGGTGTGGGGTGGTTCGTCGTCGTCGTCGTCTTCCGTTTTCCGTTGGCGTCGGCGTCATCGTCGTCGTTTTCTTTCGTCTGCGTCAGCGTCGGTGTCGTCGTCGTCGTCGTCGTCGTCGTCGTCGTCGTCGTCGTCGTCGTCGTCGTCGTCGTCGTCGTCCTCGTCCTCGTCGTCGTCGTCATCGTTGTCATCTTGCCCCCACATCCCATCTGGGGGAGCGAGGCCGGTGGAACCCTGGGACCCATCCCATCTGCGGGGTGGACCTGTGAACCCTCGACCTGGGGCCATGTATGCTCGTATGTGGCCGTGCTAGCGTTCGGTTCTCGAAGGTGGACCCTTGATTGAACGCGAACATCCAGCTTTCGCGCCGAAGACCGCTGGAAGCCACCAGAGAGACCGCCGGAAAAACCGCCGACGACCGCAGAAGACCGTCAGAAGCCCGCCGACCTCCGCCGACCACGGGCGAGCACCGCCCGGAGACCGCCGGAGACGACCCAGGAGCGAGGGGGGTAACCTGGGGTCCATGCCTCCTCCTCCTCCTCCTCCTCCTCCTCCTCCTCCGCCTCCTCCTCCTCCTCCTCCTCCTCCTCCTCCTCCCTCTCGTCTTTCTCCTTCTCCTCGTCTTGCTCCTCCTCCTCCTCCTCCTCTTCCTCCTCCCTCCTCCTTCTCCTCCTCCTCGAACACGTAGCTACAGTGCCTCCTTTTTTCTGCGTCCCGAGGCCGTGCGAAGCCGCCGCGAGCCGCCGAGACGCTGCAGCCGGGGCGCCGACGCGAGGGCCGCCGCCCCGGGCTCGGGCGGTCGGGCCGGCCCGCCCTGTCCGCGGGCGGGGCCCGGCGGGGCGCCGGGAGGGCCCCGGCGTGCCCTCCTGCGCCGTGACTTTTGTCAGGAGGGAAAATAACACACAGACACCATTAATCGTCGACTCCCAGGAAAATATGCAAAAATATGGGAAGTGGTGGGGAAGACAAAAACCCAGAAAATATGGGGAAATATGGGGGATATTTTTATTTGTGTGTATTTATTTGTGTGTTCCAGTTCCCCTTCATTCTGGCAGCGCGGCGCCCGCACGCTTGCCGCTCGGGCGCGCCTGCCGCTCGGGCTGCGCCTGCCGCTCGGGCTGCGCCTGCCGCTCGGGCGCGCTTGCCGCTCGGGCGAGGCCCGTCGTGGCCAGAAGAGCCCCTCTGTTCCTTCCTGCGCGTGCCTTCTGGTGCGGTCGGCTCGTGCGGCGCTGGCGCGCGGGCGACGCCGACGCAGGCGTTCAAGTGTGAGCTCCATGACAGAGCGGCACGGAAACAGCGAGGGACGCGGCAGCGCCACACGACCCGACGGAAATTCAATTTTGAACGCTTTGGGCCGCGATCGGTTCAAGGTGGAACGATCGACGCGGTGCAAAGAACCTTTGCGCGCGCCGACGCCGCACGAACCTACCGTAGCGCGACGCCTGCACTTGCCGCTCGGGCGCGCTTGCCGCTCATGAGCTCCGGCTGCTGCGTGCCCTCTGCCTGCTCAGCCTTCAGCCTCCAGTCTCCAGCTGGCAGGCTTGCAGATTCTGGGGAGCCTCAGGTGCGTTACGCGTGAAAGTCGTTTCGGACATGGGGTGTCGTCTTCCCCGGCTATTGTGTTAATGTTTACTGCTGCTTAGTAGTGCCCGCTTGTAGTCGCTACTAGGCGCTCGTGGACACTAGTAGGCGCTGATGGGCGCGAATTGGCGCTAACGTGCCCCAATGGGGACATTAACTGATAGACACTAGTAGGCGCTAATAGGGCGGAACCTGACTTCTCACACAGAATACACCTAAGGAGCTCCCACCCCTTAGGATGCAACTTCTGGGAGGCTGTATTTCGGAGGAGGAAAAGCTATCGATACTTTTACCCTTGCCCCGTTCTCGCCTTTTGGGCCTTCTGGGAGGCTCTCGTCGCCACTGCTGGATTGGCATCGAAATTTTGTTCAGAGCGCTCGCTCACCAGGAGAGGTCAGGGGAGTAGCGGTATCGGTAGCTCTCGCTTTCCCCAAAATTCAGCATTTGCGCTGGTACATCCGTGGTCGAAGGCCGGCCTAATGTGGCACAGTCTTTTTCAATTCGGCCTACTCCCTCCTAGTCTGCTTTACTCTAGCTTAATTCCTGGGCTTAATCTGGACCAATCCCGATCAGTGGCCCCTTCACTCGGGCTTTACAGGCCTTGGTTGTTCTTACAAGGACCTCCCAGGAGTTGATTCCTAATGTCTGCAACATACTGACATGGTTCCCAGCCATCCTGTGGTGTTGGGTCCTCGTTTTGAAAGGACAGCGCCCCGCGTGTCTCCTATTCTCTCCTCTCTCCTCCCCCTCCTCCCTCCTCCGCATCCTCCGATCCCTGCCTTGGCTTCCGCATGCAGGAAGTACAGCGTTTCGTGGCCCCAGAGGGAGCTCCACCGAAGGTGGCAGGGTTCGCATGCGGTTCCCACCGTATTTCGGCACACACCTTACACGTTTCGTGGCCCCAGGGGGAGCTCCACCGAAGGTCCCAGAGGCAGGGTTCGCATGCGGTTCCACCTCCATTTCGGCACACCTCTCGCACGTTTGGCGGCCTCACAGTGAGCTCCACCGAAGACCCCAGTGGCAGGGTTCGCATGCAGTTCCACCCCTAATTTCGGCATACCCCACGCGTTTCGTGGCCCCAGGGGGAGCTCCACTGAAGGTCCCAGTGGCAGCGTCGCATACTGTTCCACCCCTAAGGTCAGCACACCCCTCACGCGTTTCGTGGAACAGGGGGAGCTCTACCGAAGGCCCCAGTGGCAGGTTTCGCATACGGTTCCACCCCCATTTCGGCACACCCCTTACACGTTTCGTGGCCTCATAGGGAGCTCTACCGAAGGCCCTACTGGCAGGGTTCCACCTCCATTTCGGCACACCTTTCCCACGTTTCGTGGCCCCAGGGAGCTCCACCGAAGGCCCCAGTGCCAGGGTTCGCATGCGGTTCCACCCCCATTTCGGCACATCTCTCACACGCTTCGTGGCCCCATATGAATCTCCACCGAAGACGATACTCACAACTGTGGCACCTACAACTGCATGTGGTTAGGTCCTTCGCCAGGCTAATCTTTTAAACACCCTGGCGATCGAGGGCGTGACCGTGGGGATCCTCCTTCTCCATGCTCCATCCTCCTCCTCCTCCTCCTCCTCCTCCTCCTCCTCCTGCTCCTCCTCCTCCTCCTCCTCTTTCTCCTTCTCCCATCCTCCGCCCCCTCCTCTCCTCATCCTCCTCTCCCTCCTCCTCCTCTCCCATTCCTGGTGCGATCCATTTTCCCCGGTAAGTAGCGCACGCGCCCCGGCGGTTGTGAGCCTTGCCGTCTGTCTGTTTTCAGACTGCCCGCATTTCCGCTCCTACCAGCCCGCCTGTCTCACACTAATTACTTCTGATGCGCTCGCTCGCGGAGTCTGCGGTCGTCGTGGTGTCCGATCTCTTCTCTCTCCAGAAACAAAGACAAACGGGCGCGCGCGACCGTGGGGAGGAGGTGACGGGGGGAGGGGGCCGGTCACGTCACGATTCGCGCCAGCGCCGTTTGGGAATGCCCAAGAATGGTTCATGCCCACGCAGCGCCGGCGCGAACCGTGGTGTGACCAGGGGTGGGGGGGGAGGGGGGCGGAGCGGGGACGGTCACTGGCGTTGTCGCGAATGGTGCAGAACGTGCCCCAGTTTTTGGGGAGCCCCCCTTCCTCAGGAGGTGGTGCACCGCGCCGTCAACGCTTGCCTCGCGCCCATCTGCAGCGTCGACGGCTGCTCGGTCACCACCGTCGAGGGCATCGGCACGGCGCGCAAGCCGCACGAGGTGCAGAAGCGCATCGCGGATCTGCACGGGTCGCAGTGCGGGCTCCTGGCGGCCCGGCAGAAGCCGGACAGGTTGGGAGTCGTTGGGCCCTCTTGGGGCCTTCTTGGAGGCTTCATGGGCCGTCTTGGGGCGATCTTCGGGGCGATTTGAGCCGTCGTGTTCGCTGTCAAAACGTAAAATGCGGATGTGCTAAACATGCACGTTTTTCCTAAGAGACCGCATGAATTTGGCCTCTTGGGGCCCTCTCGGCGATCCTCTGGAGGCGCTTTTGGGCTGACGTGGGGCCATGGGCCTCGTGGGCCATCTTGAAGCCATCTTGGATCGTCGTGGGGCTACCCGTCATGAAGCTCTCTTCGACTGTCTTGGCGCTCTGTCTGGGCGCTATTGGTTGGGCTGTCTCGGGGCTTTTCGTCGACGGCTCCAGAGGCCCTGGGGGTGCGTCGGCGAGCCCGTGCCGCCTCCCCCTCCCCCTCCAGAGTGGCACTTTGGATCCCAGGGGGAGGAAAAAGAGGGGGTGGAGGAGGAGGAGGAGGAGGAGGAGGAGGAGGAGGAGGAGGAGGAGGAGGAGGAGGAGGAGGAGGAGGAGGAGGAGGAGGAGGAGGAGGAGGAGGAGGAGGAGGAGGAGGGGGAGGAGGACAAACCAAATGTCTCACACGCCTTGGCACCTCCGGCAGGCGGGGGTCGGCGGAGACTCTGCACGCTCCGTGGCGGGCGCCTTTGGCCATGCCGCCCGGGAAGCGATGTCCACACACCGCCCGGGGAACGATGTGCTGCAGGGCGTTTGCAGTCCATGTGCGGGTCGGACGCGCGCCTCCAATGCGTGAATTACCTACCCCGCTTTCGCTTCCGGGCAAAGCCAAGCCGTACCGCGCGCCTCCTCGTCGAGCGGCCTGACCAGTGCAGGCTGAGATTTGGTATCGTTTGGTGTCGTTTGGAAGCGAGGGTGGTCAAAAGCGAGGTAGGCTTGTTTCCCCCCTATCCAACAGAGGCACGAAGTAATAGTATGTCCTTGTGCGTCCCATGATGGTCAGTTCTTCCCCCAGCGCCCCTCTGCGAGGGTTTCCTTCCAGAGTCCCTGCGGGGAGGAGGTGACGGAGCGAGGAGAGAACGGGCAGGAGAGGGATTTGCAGGCGGCGAGGGACAGGGACGCCCGTGCGAGCCCGCGCCAGGGGCTGCTGCCGGCTGTGAGCGGCTGCGGAGATTGAGGGTCCGAGGAGTCCTCCCCGCCCCCAGAAGGGATGGCCCAGAGGTGCGATATGTATTGCCTTCTTCAAAAAGACCCCCTCTCCCCCGAAGTCCCGACCCCTTCCCCCGGGACCTGTTTTTCACCCCGAGTTGTGTGTTGGCCGGCCCCGTGGCCCAGCGAGGGCCCCCAGGGGCCAGAAGCGACACGTGACGTTGGTGCTGCATTTGTCATTACGCATGAGATCCGGGCATGGATGCACAAGTCCAGGCTGCCCAAATGGGGTCCGAGTAGCCGATGCATCGGGGATGCAACTCGATGTGGAGCCCGACTTTCTCCACGAAAGCGCCGTGTGCGGCCTGCCCCACTAAGGGTCGGAAACTTAAAATCACAGTCAACAGTCTTACGCGAAGGTCCAGAACAGTGATTTTTAGAAATTACACATAAGGCACAAACCTGATTAAAAAACAGACTCCTTCTCAAACTGAGCGTCTATGCCTTCTTGTACCTGGGACATAGTGTGCGCTGTTCGCGTCTGCTACAAGCCTCATCCTCCTCAACAACTCCACGCCTTCCTCCCCATTTACCTTCGGCAAACCTACCATTCAATGTTCCCACCGTCCTCGTTGCTAACGCCTCCTCGCTCCTCCTCCTCTTCCTGCCTCCAACCTCTCAGGAGTAGAATTGAGCCTTCGGCAGCATATGGTTCTTTGTTTTGCTCTGCGGAGGGACGGGTTGAGTAGGGAAGGCACTGGTCACGCAGGACCACGAAAGGAGCGCGCGCACGTTTGCCATGCCTTTGCATTCGCAGCCTTGCTCTCTCGAGCGGCCTCATTCTTTTTTATGTTGACACACCCTCGGTCGTACACGTGTTCATTCTCCTAAGGGTTGAACGAATGTCATGGGTGTCGGTTGTGGAGGAGGGGCCACATCGGAAGAAGAGCCGACGTGGCGTTGTTCAGTCAAGCTTTCAGGTTCCACAAATCCCCGTGAACACGTTGGCCCTGGCACGTTCTCAGAAATCTTCCTTTCGCCCTGATGGCATGTGGCCTCTGACGCACTGGTACAGTGATTTTGTTCGGGAACGTTTGTCTGCCATTCGTCGTGGCTTGACTGTACATGCAGACCCTTCAGTGTCCAATCTGGCGAGACGATGCTTCCTCGAATCTGGCGCGCGCGTCATCAGCAAGACGGCCTCCATGGAGCTTACGGGCTTGAAGAGAAAGGAGATTGGCCCTGTCCTGAAGTCCGCTGCGCTTACAGGACGTCGCTTTCACTTTGATCACATTTTGCCTGCGTTGGTTTTTCTTGGATGGAAAGTTGAGGGAACCAGCGGGAGGGAGAGGAGAGGATAGGGGGGGACATGTAAGGTATGAAACATGGCACGAGGGCGGGGGGCACTATGACGGAGGCACGGCGGAGGACTTGGCCAGAAGGATCGCACGATGACGATGACACGAGGATGAGGAAACAGGAGGCATCATAACTAACCAGGAGGTTCGGTTGGCAACGATTATGTGTGCATTGCTGGCGAAAACAAGGGAAGCTCAGGACTATATTTCGATCGCGTCTTTCGGCATTATCTTGAACAGTCTATGTTGGCAGCGTTCCCGATCGATTCCCTTGTTGAGTACAGCGATCGTTGCCGTCAAGACGAAACGCCACTTCCCGTCGCCAGGAAACTTGGAGGCCTTAGCAGTGCAGATGACATTGGAGGTATTGCAGGGCCGAGTGGCCACGCCGTCGCTTGTATGTACCACCAGCCTTTGCCATTCGATGTTGCGTCAAGGCCAGCTCGAACATCTGTGAAAATTGTCCAGTCTGTTTCGGAGTATGGCATGCTTATTTGCACCGACGGGGCTTCGAAGTTCCTTGTCGTGACGGGTAGCATGTTGAACTTGCCGCAACTAGTCGAACGCACTACGGCAGAGTGTCTACTTGAGGCTGAGCTTCGGCGACGGTTTGTAGGAGGCGCTCCATCTCATTTCAAAAGCAGGTCCAGGGATTGGTGCCGTGATTCTGCGAGTGCGAACTTTCGTTTCGAGAGGGGTCTCGTGGCGACATTGGAGCGAGCTGGATTTGGCAACTGGGTATCTGACGGCATGCATTGTCATCCTCATAGGTCATGCGGTGCATTCAAGAAAAGTTACCAGCTCGTCGAGTCGATCATCTCCGCCCAAATCAATTTCGCATTGTGCATCAATAACAACCAGAGCTTGAAGGTGTGGCAGAAGATAATCATCGAAACAGTGACGGAACTAATAAGGCCGCGCTTTGGTTCCCCGCCACAACATGTGACCGCGTTCAAGCGGCAGGTCATGTCTCTTTGCTTGCGTGGTGCTGGGAATCAACTGGTACGCACATTGTACGCGTATGCCTTGCCGAACGGTGATTGGACAGACCACTCTGGTATAGATATCTGGCTCACCCCAGGTACGCGTGTTGATGTTAGAGCGCTGGGGAGATTTATCGGCGCAGCGATTGTGAACGTGTTTGCGCCTACGCTGTACAGCCTGTACGGGAGAAATAAGTTGAAGAATGTCAACGCGGCGATTGGCGAGCTGGCAGCAATGGAAGCGTGTCATGGTCTTGTTTCGCATTGCTTTCCAAAGTTTGCCAGGAAATACAAGGTCAGGAGAGATCAAGCAGGTGCCATCGCAGCTGCCCACGTGCCCCCGCCGCCGCCAGGACCTGCTGTACACGGACTTGTTCATGCACCTCCAGCTCTCCTTGATGCCCCCGGGGCCGGAGCGGAGGCAGACGAGGGCGACCGCGACGATGAGGGCCCGAGGCGCGAACAGCGAGCTGCAGGGGCTGAGGGTGCAGGGACGGAGGATGTGAACGTGCGGGGTTTGACCAAAGAGGAGCGCAGCAAGGGCATTTCAAAGGTTCTAAAGTTTCTGAGTGCCGACTGCGGTTGGGGCTACGATGTGCCCATATTTCGTCAGGTCTTGGAAGCGAGCGGTAAACTCATGACTAAGCAGATCGAGAGGTCAACTTTCGACTACCAGTACCACCAACGCTTTGGTATTATCAAATCGAAGGCCAGGGGTGACCATGCAGATGTGACGTTGCAGAGCTACGCGGTGGAGTCAGCTACGTCATCGCTGGAGAATGCATTGTTTGTCGACTTGGGTTTACTTCGCGATTCAGATGCCCTGTGGAAGGATATCATACCAGACGGCTTTAAGAGTAGGAAGCGCTGCGCACTGTCGTTCAAGCTTATCGTTTCTGTGGAGTGCTGGGTTGAATCAATGATTGTGGACTCCCACCTTGCTTACCCTACGAAGAGGTATCTTGCGCTTGTGTCCGATGCAGGAGCCGCTGAGGTCGCGAATGACAGAGCTTGCCTTTTCGACGAATGGACTCGGTCACTGGTGGAGGAATGGAAGGGCCACCCGCTGCAGCTTCGGGCGCCCATTCCACAGGCGAAGTTGCGATTCAAGGCGAGAATGGAGAAGAGGGACATACTGGAGATCGAGAACATGCATGCTGCATTCAGGCGCCGCGTGAAAGGGCGAGAGGTCCAGAACATTGGCGAGGATTTCAGCGAGGTCGTATCGGAGTATCACATTGCACGGATCAGGGCCAGGCGAGAGCACGCGACGGTGTCGACTTTTACGCAAGACACCCCACCCCAAAGCCAATCGACCAATGATGGCAGTAATATGAGACATAATGATCGTCAGCGGAAGCCATCGTCTTGGAACTTGTTCGTTCGAGAGAAGACCATGGGATGTGTAGCAGATGGGAAGGCACCCCCTAACACTAGCAATGTCAGTCGGGAGCACAAGGAGCCATCGGAAGCAGAGTTCGAGGCTTTAAAGAAGAGATGCGACGACGCAGTTCACGCTGGAC